CAATTGCTGTTTTAACTGTCAAACACACGAGTTGCAGAACTGTCATTCTTGATCGGCAAATCTTTGTAGTAGAATAAGAAAGTTTTAGAAGAGGACCAGTTTGCAGTGTCCATAATGTCCTTCATAGAAACACCTGAAGCAAAGGCTACGGAAACTGCAGTTTCCCGAAAAGAATGAGCTGTTTATATAGATTAATCTATCCCAGATTAAGATAACACACTCTTTAACCATCGAGCCAGAGTACATGTAGTCACTTTATTTAGGTTTTGCATTAAATAAAAAGATCATCAGATTTACGAATATATTTTATTCGATGTATACATTCTTTCAATGTCTCAACAACACATAATTCTTTTTTTATGTTATTGATAAAATGAAACAGAGGGTAAAGGAATGCCAGGCCTAGAAGTCTTTGAAAGTGTTTTTATTTGAAAAATATTTTTATCAGTATAAACAATCATATAATCAATGTTCAGTGCTGAACGGCTCTGGGCTCTTGCAGCAGTAGTTAAAGCACACAATGCCACCAATTTCCATGTTAACATTTTTAGAGTCAAGTTTTTCAGAGGATATAGATAGATCTCTTAAAAACTGTAAAACTTTAGATACATCCCATGTTAACTTACATTTTGGTTGAAGTGGATTTAAATTATAATAACCTTTAAGAAACTTAGGTATTAAAAACTGACTATTGATCCACTTGAAATAAAGACAAGGTTTGCATTAGCATAGCTTTATTTATATTAATAACTGAATATGAAACTTTCTGTTTCATCAAGGAAGATAGAAATTGCATAACATTCACAATGATCCCCAAACAATTGCTCGGTAATAGGAACTGCAAATGTTCCTGTATCTGGGGTTTAAACAACCTTTTAATTCATTCCTACGTTTCATTGATGGAAACAGACTAATGGAGTTAGACAATATAGACTTCGTTTTTTAAATATCTAATTCTTTGTTATTTGCCAGCTGATCTGTGGACAGCGTTTTATATAGGGTGGTGTAGTCACATGTTCAGTCTATTGTTAAAGTCTTTATATTGAGACCTTGTATGCTATGCCTCGCTACACTAGGAAAAACAATGCTATATGATACCCTCGTAGAAAGGCGACATGTACATGTAATAGAATGTCGGGAATTACTTTAGAAATATTTTTCTTAGAACATCTCAACCACAAATCGTCAAATTAATATGCAAGCATGAGTTGTTGTGAGGTGGGACCACAATAAAAATGCAAAATCCCACAGGGGAAGCAAAAACCTCATCCAAAGTCTTTTTTTTTTCATTCGTTAATTTTTTACCATATAATCATGGGCTGAAGTGGGACCAAAGAAAGGGTATATTTACATAGAAATGAATAGGAATTTTTATTTTAACTTATTCTCTAAAATTGATCAAATTGTTATTTAATATCTATATTAATGCTATGGAAATCTTTTGAATTTAAGAATAATTCAATGGAATTTAGGAAAAATCTTTTTAACAAACAGCGGTGGCAAAGTAAGTCAAAGAAATAAGCAAACGTTCCTCACCCCTGTTTTCCCTGCGGTTCATATTGTCTATATAGATGTCTGTCTGTCTTTCCTTCTGTTAGTTCGCAAAAAATCTGAAAACTTTGCGGTTACAGTGGCCTAGTGGTTGAGCGATCGATTTAAAATGGGGAGGTCCAGGTTCACTTCTCGCTCCCGTCGCCACATGAAACCTAAAAATTATTAACATAGATAATGACTGTTCCTTCACTAAGCGCTCAGGATATTCAGGGAAGGGTCAAGGGTGAGACCTTAAATATCTACGATCTACAGCCGTAAGCGTAACACCTGGGTATAAAATATTGTTCCTTATGAGACTTAAGGATCACTATCCTTCTGTTCACTCATAGAAAATTCTACTCTGCTTCTGAATTAAAAAAAAATATTAAGTAATAGTCATTTATCCCCCTGAGAATTATCTCTCTTAACAGAGTGTCAGTGAACCTTAAACAACATACATTTAATCAATTAAAACGTAATGGAAACATTTTGATAAATTTCTGTTACTTAAGGTTTATAAGGTAAAATTAAATATTTAAAAAAAAAAAAAAACTTCCATTACATTTTGGGCGGATTCGGCTAAGAAAATGTTGCTAAAATATTTTTGTGTGTTTGATTCTTCTTTTCTGCCTTCACCTAATTCTAGCAGTATATTTATGGAAAAATGCATTGACCCCAAGTAAAGACGAACAACATGTGACTTGGGTCAGGAAGGATTCAGTGCAGGATGATTCGACACATGAAGCAGATTTTTTATATTGATTGTTCGTTCGTTTGTTTGTTTGTTTTTTAACGTCCTTATCGAAATTTTTTTCACTCTTATAGAGTTACACCACTCGCCGGTGTCCACGTCCCGCAGTGGGATTCGAACCCAGCAACGATTCTAGAGCAAAGGCGACTTTTTTATTTTATTTATTATTTATTTTTTGGATGAAGGTTTAATTTGATCTTATTGGTCATGTTATATATACTTTTCTCCCTACTGTAATTTGGGTTTTAATGAAAAAGTATATAATGTCGTTATAGTTAGGAGCACAATTGTAATTATAGTAATGCTATAACTGGGTGAATTAAAAAATAATGACCGCCAAATTGATATTTGTTTTTAAAAAAAAATCAACTTACCATAACATATTTTTCACTTATATCATCATACTGTACATACATTCTACTCAAAATTCCTGAAATGGCAATAGAATAGACCATTGCATAAAAAAGTTTCAGAATTTTTATTAGTAAAATTTTTTTTGAAAAAAGAAAATATTACTACCTCCTAAAAGACTTTCTAAAATGCATAATCAAAAGAAATTATAGTTTTTCATGCTTCAAAATTGTGCCAGGGATACAAATGATTAGATCTAAACCTTGATAGAGTTCCTTCTCTTGTATATGTGAAAGAAATTAGCTTTTTGATTCTAATGTTATTTTACATTATTTTTTAATGCTGGTTTTAATATGAAAGATATATGATACAATAAATTCACCCAAAATTACTTTTTTGTCCATTTTAAGTCAATTCTGTAAATATAAGCCAAAAATTAATTTTAAATGCAACTTTTCTTATAAGAAATTACTAGATTTTAAACATGTTAAAGTTATCCTATTTTACCTCATTTTTTTGCACTCCTGACATCTGATATGTATTTTATTAAACATTGTTTTAATAATTCTAACACAATAACTCATTCAAAGTTTGTAAATCAGTTTGTCGTTTTGATATTTTTTTATCAATTACAGTAAGTTTTTCATATTTTCTAGACTTCAAAATATGATTACTTGCTTGTGTAATATATAACAAAAAGTAATTTTAAGTAATGAAAACCATTCTGTGATTTGACTATAAAACATCCAAACAATATCTGTAATTTGTTAATAGACATAATGATTTGAACTATAATTAGTATCAAACACGTTCTGCAATTAATTTTTAGTAAAGATCGATGAAGTTCATTGATAATAAGAAAACGGTTTGTTACACTCTTGACTGTAGTAAAATTTAAAATTAAATTTATAGAACACTAAACTTCATAAAGTGCTGGCAACATCAAGTGGTAACTTGATTGTTTCTTTAAATTTATTCATATTTGATCAGCAATAGTTCTAACATTTTTGCTGCACTCAAGACCAGAAGCATGCAAATCTTTAAAGTAGAGTTGTGAAGCATAAATTATATCAGAAAGTGTTCTGTTGTTTCAGTGAAGTTGAGGTGAAATTATTTGAATTTTATAACAATTTTTCAGTGTTTTTTTTTTTAATTTTCACCAAAAAACAAACAAACAAAGAAAAGATTAAAAAACACCTCTGGATTGATCAACTTGAAAAAGAGACAGATTTTAATAATAAAACTGGCAATAATTTAGTGCTAAGTAAATTATTCAAATAGATCATTATTAATTAAAGAATATTTAATAGTAAGAATAGAAGTCTTTTCATCATACAGCCTGAATCTTTAAATAAATGTGTTGCCCTCCTCACCATAGAAATATAGATTTGAAACATAAACAGACCCTTTAATTGACAGATCAATTTGGGAAAAATATTTTTTCTCTCTTTATTTTCCAATAAAGAATTCAGAGAATCATATACTGATAAAAGTATTCCTATGCTGAGTAGCAAAACATTAAATGTTGTACTCCTAACGCAATTGCATATGCCCAGATACTTGACTCTCATTAATGCTGCTTGTGATATATATATTTCTTTTTAAATTTTAAATGGTACATAAGTTATTGTTTTACACTTTGAAAATCCTTTTTTGACTTCATTGTCATACAGATTTTTAAAATCAATGATTTTTGGCAATACTACATTTTTTTCTATTGCACTCCTGACATGGTATAGCATTTTTTTCAGCATAAGCCATGACCACAGCTCTGTCAAACAAAAGATGCTACAGTCTAAATTTAAAGCTCAGTACTTTGAATATTTTCAGGAAAGTCCAACATAAACCATTTTTTCATAGATCTTTAAAAAATATTGAATTTTCAAAGTGTCACTAAAAGGTATTGCACTCCTAACATTTTTAGCATCATTTTGGGCAAAACTTTTTGTGACGAAAGATATCAATGAGATATTTGGCAGGTTTTTAGCCTATATCAAAATACACATGCTGAGACGTAAAAATTTATTCCCTATGCCTGTATTTTTAGTACAGGTTGATAAATATGTGTCTGTGCATTTTTTTTTAAATTCACCCAATTCTGTCTATTAATTCTCATTTGTCGTTCAAATTATCTCTTCGTAAATATTGAATATTTACATATATTTGTTGATTATAAGAATTATTGCAAAGCTTTCGATTTTATGTCACGAGAATACAGGTAATCATATCTAATTACATATATCTTCTCTTGAAACACTTCTTTTTAGTTGTATACATCCATTCGTTTATTCCGATTGGAAAATTCGGGGATCAATTTAGAATAATTCCTTCTTCTGAAGAAGTGCATACGGACGAAAATGGAACAATGAACCATACTAACTCCAACAATGATGTTTTCGGTAAACTTTACAATGAATGGTTCCAGGTTTTGAGAGATGACATTTTAGGAAAGGAGTATGTAGTACCTGCTTATATTGATCTTCATGTCAACTACTCTCTTGGATTCGGTAACCCTCAAAACAAAGAAGTCAAAGTGAACATTGAATTCCCGACTGTGGATAACTATTCCCGCAATCTTTGCAAAAATGAAACAAAGGAGATAACTATAAAAGCTTTTCAATATGAAGTTTTGAAATTACAATGTGATATCATTGGAACACGTGTTAATGCCTCAGAAAATATCATTGTCTACTCTCTAATTACAAAAGGAGTCGGAGAACTCCCGGATTTATTGATGATTGAACAACTCATTCCAGTCAGATTGTGGGGGAGTTTCTACGTGATGGTACCTTCTGGAAAAAGTCCTAAAGGGGATATAATTTTGATAATAACTGCACATGATAACACGAAAGTTCATATTTTAGGGTACGATCATGTCACCATTCCTGACAAATACGGCAGAATACATAGACGTATTTTAGGAACATCCCCAATCACTATAAAGACCTCAGATCCAGTGTCTGTGACGCAGTTTGTTGTTCGGGATGACGACTCATCTATGATAAACATCATCCCACTGAAATACAAGATTGATAAAAACGACTTGTGGGAAGGAGACTCAAATGTCAGATACACTTACATACACGAGAAAAAGGAAAATGCTATGACAATTCCACTGTCTAAATATCACGCATACCAAGGGAATGGCATTTCCACGGTACCGGAGTTTGTACTGGGCTGCTCCCTTTTGTTTAAAGAATCCAAACTACTTCCTAGGAGTAACTGTGGTTTTATGAATGAATCCAAGGTAGATTTTTTATCAAAGTCAAAATAAATTTTATCAACAGATACTTTTGATGTACAACAAACATGTACTATTAAATCGAAACATCTCTTACCTCCTATCAACCTTCGATGGTTTGACGAATAGACTGCATGAATATGATAAAGCAGATGATATGATTTTCGAGTCCTATTCATAAATCTCTACTTTTTTGTCATTTTTTTCCAGACAGAGGATATCTGGCCAGTTATGGTTCCTGGAGATGGCGTAGATAATGATAGCGATGATAAAGTTGACGAAGACGACTGCTGTAAGTTAATATTTAATATAAAATATATACAAGATAATAGTTCGATTGACGTCGCCAGGGTTGACACAGAAATTTATCTTAAAGGATCTGCCACAGTGCATTATAAAATGGCTACGAATACACTGAAGTATATTCTATTATTGGATCTATCAATTTATGTACTTTGTAAAAGATATTTTAATTGTTACCGATCAGTAAATCAATAAATGTAACCCCATTGTCCTGCTTTTGTTTTCTGCGAGATTTTCGATGAAATTATGTCACTGACAGTAATTTGTGTGTAATTCTGGTAAATTGGTAGTGACAGCTAAAATTCAGTTTAACATTTTTTTAATTTACATATTCATGTTTCTTCTAAATAAAGACTTTTTAAAAATGTATAGGAATTACACCTCTTATTTTATGAATCCTAGCACTTGATCGAACACTCTCTTGAGATAATTATTCTGAGTTTTAATAAGGTTCAAATGTATGTAGGAGCAGATGCACATAAATTTAGAAAGAAGTCTAAATCATTTATCTGCTTGTATTTTACAGCAGAAGTAATAAAGAACAGTAGTCTGGTGCTTATTCTTATTTACATATATAATACTTACTAAACACTACTCACTAAACAGTGTTTACAGGGAAGTGGGAGATCATTTTTTATCTTACATTATGGATTCCGTTTATTCCATTCATGCAATGAAAACAAGCATTGTAAAAGTATTGCATAAACAATACATGCCCACTACCGGTATACCCTTTTCTTTTTAGGATATCATTTTATAAGACCCTGTATATGAAAAGTGCGCCCAAAATGAATGAAATGTCTTGGAATGAAGTCTGTATTACAAAGACGTGTTTGACTGTCTTTAGACTTACATGCATGCTTTGATCAGAACAGGTCATCTTGCATGATTAAAAAAACAATTTTATAATTTCTTTTGAATTGTTGACAAAATATTACAATTATAGTTGTGGGGCACATACAAATATACATGTATGCAATGGTCCAAATTGAACAAGGTATGAATCGACCAGTTACTGTTGAAAACTGTAGAATAGAAAATAAACGACTTCCAGTAATAGCGAACGCACGAGGGATTGGGATGTTTTCGAATACTTTGACAATAAAATCACCTTATGTGTGAATAACACAACTGTCGGTAAACAAGACTGCTTACATATGGAAAACGTTACTCGTTGTTCTTAACTCAAACACATACCAAAAAAAAATCCCAATTCAAATCGGGAAAGATATCCATTCTTTATTGCATCGCCAAGTATATTAAGTTTTCGCTGGTAGAAATTGCTAAAAACAATGCACGATATAACTGACCGTCTTCTGTCAAAAACTTCAACCTGAAAACCTTGTTTTGGGGACATTAATCTAGTGCAGCACGAACCCGATTTTGAACCCGATTATAAAAAAGAGGAATGTTTAAAACGATTTACTCTAGCACCTATTGGTCAAATGTGACAAAATTCAAACTTTCTATAGTTTGTCTCTATAAAGGTACCCAGCAAGTTTCAAACAATAATCTTTAACATGACAACCTCGTTTTGGAACATTAATTTAGTGCAGCACAAACCCAATCTTGATCCCGATTATAAAAAAAGAGGAATGTTTAAAACTAATTTACTCTAGCACCTATTGGTCAAACGTGACAAAATTCAAATCTGATCTGTAGTTTGACACTATAAAGGTACCCAGCAAGTTTCAATTCTCAAGAGCGTAAGGGAAAAAAGTGCGGAATACCAAGTGGGACAGACTGACAGACAGAAAGAGGGACAGCTAGACGGACAGACAGACGGACGGACAGATGCAGAGGAAACCTATAGTCCCCTCCGGTTTCACTGGTAGGAGACTAATAAAATAACAAGATTGCTGATTGTGGTAACTCAGAGGACTAGAGATCATTTGAATAAATGGACATTTAATGATTTCATATTTGATACTTTTGTTTTTATTAGTTTCAGATTTCTTCAGTGGAACCGGTGAGCAAAATATATATTTCATAATCTGATTTTTCTGACAGTATACAATTTGAAAATATTTTTTACTTTCAGAATTTTTTTTTTAAAGAAGAACGTGTATTTTATACTTCCCCTTAAATGAAAGAAACTGAAAGAAAAGTTTTGAGTCAATTGTGAGATAATTAAAACTACAAACTTAGGAATCAATAACACGTGTATCTTAATAATTAGACGCTCTTTTTTCGTTATTTACATGTACATATGTGATTCTGTACGGGCGGCGGAAAGATGAACAACCAACTACTTTGTTTCTTTTGTTCATTTGGCTATTAGTAAGCACTTGCTATCGTTGAGTTCTTGATTTTGTTTTATATTTTTTAAGCGCTAATATATACGCTAAATGCTTTATTTATCTAACCAAAAGTTTTACTCAACCAGATGCTACCTATGAACTGTTTACCTAGAAACCTCTCAGGTCTTTCTGCTCCGGGAACCAAATGCCCGAAATGATTGCTCAGCTTTTGAATTTCGGGGGAATACTTGCAGGGTCAAAACTGTTAATCCTGGACCACGGTCTATTCTAAATGGGTGTTTGTTATTTTTTTAAGGAAATATTTGTGAGAAACTTAGAAATGGTATATGAAAAAATGAGAAAGCTAAGGAAATTTTTTTATCGGCATCGTCCTCTTCGAAAATTCTTCAAAGTTTGATAAAAATGCAGAGGTTCTGCGGAAAATTTTTTCCAGAATCTCCAAAAAATAATAAAAATAGAAGAATTAAAAAAACTCGTGACAATAAACAAAGATTTATAATGACAATTAAAATATTAGCGACCAATTGTTAAAATATATTATGAAAAATATGAAGTTGTAAACATACGTTAATGTGTTAAAATTGTTAATTATGATCTTAATTTTGAGCGTTTGAGTAGAAACTAAAATGAGGAATACATGTATAGGCATACTGATAGAAATCAGCATCATTATTAATCAAAACTATGAATTGCAATTGTTTAGCAGACATTAAATTAATTTGAATATTGAAGGAACGGGGCATTGTAAACAAATATTATTTGCAATGGACAAATATTCTTTGTATCAAAAACGATGACCTTAAGTATATATACTTTTGTAAATACCAGTAATTTGATTAGACAACAAGTTTAGTTTCCATGCCGAACAAAACGTTTGAATTTCGTAAGTCTACGAGGGATGATCAAAAAGTTCGCGAACTATCTCTATGTTTACAAAAATACAATTCAGATCAGAATGAAAGTAGGCACACATACGAGTATAGTCATACATATGTTCTATAAATAGCAGGTGTTAGGTGATTTTTTTCTCCATGTTTGTGACGTCACATTGTAAAAATGACGTCAATATGTGACTTGTGACAAAAAATGGTTGACTCAGTCGTATTCGAGCAACAAACGGCTGTAAAGTTTAACATATATCTTGGAAATTCCTTGACAGTACCATATAATAATTTGTACAAGGTTTATGAAGACAAAAGACTTGCCAGAAGTTTAATCATTAATTGGTTTGATTGTTTTATTGAAGAAAGCGAGATGGTTAAAAATAACGTTTGTTCTGTTACCCAGTGAAAGCAAGCTGGGAAAGATATGTGTCCTTAGTTGAGCAATTTGTTATGAAAGATCGCCAAGTTACAGTTAGAAAAATAGTTATATATCTTAACAATGACATAATTATTAAATCCATGAAATATCGTTTACTTTAGACTTAAAACATATCACATATGATAAAAAGAAGGCGTTCATACTTTATCCACATTAGATAAAACGACGCTGCCAAGACAGAGGACTCGGGTTGTGATGGTCACCATGCTCATTCTGGGGAAGGATATCCTTATCCATCCATCCTATTGCCGAAATTTCGCCGTTTGTGACAAATGGACTGTTATTGTTATAAAAATAACTTGCATGTTAAGAAATATAAGACTCAGAAATGTGAACAAAACGCTACGGAGCATGTCACGTTACCGCTTGGATCACATGATTCGCGCATGGACAGAACGGTGGCAGATGTGCATTTAAATTGGAGAGGAATACTTTAAACAATAATGAACACTTAAGCCTAATTTTATTTCTTTTATGGAAGTAATTCAATTAGTTCGCGAACTTTTTGATCACCCCTCGTAATTTCCTTAAAAACTACAGAATTTTATTAAATATGCCTTCATAAATAATGCATTTTCACAGGATTATTTGAAAAACCAGACGATTTTGATTTTCCCCATTAGTTAGAAGTGAGTTCCAAAAATTGCAATTTTTGTCTTTCATCCAAAAGGAAATGACATGTAAGATTTGATTAATCTTTAAGCTATCCAGGTCAGAGACCAGAAGAGCTTATGCGATAGTAAGGTGTCCGTCTGTCTGTCTGTCCGTCTGTAAACAATTTTTCAAGATGCTACTCCTCCTAAAGTTTTGGTCTGATTCCAATATAACTTGGCACACAAATAGACTACTCTGAGATACATATTTCTATGTATTCGTTTTTGATTTCGATGAACGATTGCCATGGTTACTAAAACTAGAAATTTCTGTGAAATACTTTAAGAGCACTCCTCCTCCTAAAGTTTTAGTCTGATTTCATTATAACTTGGCACAATAGTAGACTACAATAAGATACACAATTGTCTTTATCGGTTTTTCATTTTGATGAGTAATGTTGACATGGTGATAGTATAAATATAGAAATTTCTGTAAAATTCTTTCAAAAGGCTACTCCTCCTACAGTCTTTATCTAATTGCATTAAATCAACCACAAAATTAGACTAAAACTAGGGTCTTCATTCTATTTATTGCTTTTGCAAAGTTTCAAATCTAAATGCTACTTTTCTTTTCTTTTGTTATAAGTACAAACCAGTAGAGCTACAGTCTCGTCAGAGACTTCTGGTTTGAACATTACATTTCTGACATTATTTGAAAAAAAGATGACTTTGTGTTCAAAAAAGGGGATGTTACTGGCTTTCTCATTTAGTAAAATACTTCAAAGTTAGTATATCTGCTTCTTTTTTGTTAT